GTACTTATTGGGGCCACCTGTTTTCCTGGAGTTTGCCCCACTGGTACCCATTAGGGCCACCTGTTTTCCTGGAGTTTGCCCCACTGGTACCCATTGGGGCCACATGTTTTCCTAGAATTAACCCACTGGTACCCATTAGGGCCACCTGTTTTCCTGGAGTTTGCCCCACTGGTACCCATTAGGGCCACCTGTTTTCCTGGAGTTTGCCCCACTGGTACCCATTAGGGCCACCTGTTTTCCTGGAGTTTGCTCCACTGGTACCCATTAGGACCACCTCTTTTCCTGGAGTTTGCTCCACTGGTACCCATTAGGGCCACCTGTTTTCCTGGAGTTTGCTCTACTGGTACCCATTAAGGCCACCTGTTTTCCTGGAGTTTGCTCCACTGGTACCCATTAGGGCCACCTGTTTTCCTGGAGTTTACTCCACTGGTACCCATTAGGGCCACCTGTTTTCCTGGAGTTTGCCCCAGTGGTACCCCAGGGTTCCTTGGTTCTTAGCCCACTGATGCCCGTCCTGGGCTATGGGTCTGTTCACCATCCCTCTGCTTGCTGTTTTCTTTGGCCTTATTTTCTGTATGCTCGTTTTGCTTTGTTCTTTATAGTGATAAATGTACTTGTCTCTTTAATGATTCCCTTTGTCTAAACTTTCCCTTAAGATCGGAACTTTTCTGTATTACGAGCAAATGTGGGTGGTTTGTGTAGTCGGCATTACCTTAAAATCAATACATATATAAATACAGTTATTTTATCATTTACCTGTAAACAATAAGCTAGGGGATCCACGCCATTGCAAATACAGATTGTGTGTTTGCTTCTTCTACCTTTGGCTGTGGATGAGGGCGTTGAACGCCAGTCCATCATTCCAGCTGCTGGAGAAGTTAACCACGTTGACCTGGGGATTGAGGACATGCGTTATCAAACAACCAGAGTGAAACTGACGAGTGGAACCACTGACGACTGAAAGACTTGTCAAATTGTCAAACCATCTTCCTTTAAAGAAGATTAAACTCTACATAACTTTCTGTTCTCTACATTTTTGAATGAGGAGGCAACAAGCAGAGCCAGAAGAAGCTGAACATCCCAGTTGTCACATTCAGGCCAGGTTTCCCTTCATTTGTTGTCTTCATGTGAGCCCTTTCTAAAGCTAACTCTGCTAACGAGTCCTAACTCAGAACCAGAGGAAAGGATTCACTATTTCTGCTTTTTTCCCTCAAGAAGCAGCTGTTAATGTCAGAAAATTACAGCAGATATTACAGAAATCAGTGGAAAACACCTGGGGACAATTTTAGACCTCTGACGATGTAGTGTTTTAGTTTTCTTAATGGCTTTGTTTGGTAATATCTGAATTGTTCTTCTAATTTTGTTCTTATTTGAGGGCGTTCACATCGTGATTGTGGAATGAATAAATCAGCAATGCTTTTTAAGCCTTAATCAAGCCGTTTTATACATGAATACTTTTAACATTTCCAAAAGTAATGATAATGAAATAGATGTCACAAAAGGTGAAAAGGTGAAAACTGTATGCAAAAAAGCTCTAAACGGCATGGAAACACTGCTTAAAAATGAATGCATGAGAAATTAGACCAGCTTGTGGCCTTCAGATATTGTCTGAAAGAGCAGAGGAACTGGTGGGGTCTCATTATTCTTGTCATTAAGTTGTGTTTCTGCCCCCCTTTCCTGTCAAATTGACCCCCGGCCGGTCCAGAAAGATGGCCGCCCCTTCACTTTGAACATTTTTTGTCGACCATGTATGAATTATACCCAATTGGAATTTAATAAACCTGAATTCTGACAAGTGGATTGTGCCTTTAACGTATCTATGTATGGCATCAGTGAAGATTTTGGCCATAAATTAATAAAACTGACAAAAACAGAACGAAATAAAGCCGTTTTTTGCAAAAAAAACATTGACATGGAAATGTTCAGGATCCTTCATTG